AAAACCAGTCCAAATCTCCATTAAATGACTTCAAATTTTATATACAACCTCCTTATACTATTTCTAACAAGTCTACATAACACCCACTCTAAATTTCTCACAAAATCAAATCCGAAATTTAAACTCACATATTTAAGCTTGTTAAAAATCTAATTTTCACCACCCAAATGGATTTGGTTTGTTGAACTAATATTTGAGTCACGGTTACTGATTCAAAAATTAACTTAAAAGCTTGAGCAATCTTTTTTAAAAATTAAATAGTAATTTCGAGAATCTATTGGAGTTGAATGTTGAGTATATTAGCCTATTATTTTTGGGCTAGTTGGTTGTAAATTAAAATATGGGCTATAAAATTAAAAAGTAGGCAACTCAGTTGTTCTTATGTGAAATTTTCCCATTAGTTTATAGGTAGAAAAACAAATAGGTAAACAAAGGTAAATAGTTTTGTTTTTGTGGGTAGCTGTGTCAAAAACCCCTATTTAAATATTTATATAGACTAGTTCTAGGGTTTTACGTGGAGAATAATTAATGGGCTAGCTTCTAGTCCATCTAACACCCGTTATGGGTGGACGGTTCGATAATATTTTTCAATAATGCCTCTCTAAAATAATTTATTTAGCATGAATTTAAATTAATCGAATCCATAAATAAATTTCAGTTTAATTAATAGCCTGTTTGGTCAAGCTTCTTTTATGCCAAAAGTGCTTTTTTTTTGGCCAAAAGCGCTTTTGGCCAAAAATTGAGGTGTTTGGCCAAGCTTTTGGAAGGAAAAAAAGTGCTTTTGAGGAGAAGCAGAAGCAGTTTTGGAGAAGCAGAAAAAAGTAGCTTCTCTCCAAAAGCACTTTTTTGAGAAGCACTTTTGAGAAAAATACAATTAGAAGCAGTTTTTTAAAGCTTGGCCAAACACTAATTGCTGCTCAGAAGTGCTTTTCAAACTAATTAGCCAAACACAAATTGCTTCTCACCAAAAGTACTTTTGAGAAAAGCACTTTTGAAAAAAAGCACTTTTCAAAATAAGCTGATTTTTGCAGCTTGGCCAAACGGGCTATAAATTTAAAATGAAAAATAAAAACCAAACAATGGTAAGAGCAGAAAAGGAGATGGGGGAGAGAGAGGAAAAGAAGGAGAAAGACACACGTGGAGGGCAACTGTGGGAATAAGAGAGCTAACAGCTAAGTTTGAAGGGTGTCAAGGAATCAAGGAAACATAGGACACGTCGGGGTATCCACCTCGGTGTTATCGCCCTCTCAACAGAATCACACACTACTCATTGGGAATTTGGTGCCCGACTGCCCGGCCCCTTGAAGCTGGATCCTCTGCTCATTTCTAACCTGCCAACGTTTCTTTCTTTGACCTTATACGTGTTCTCTTTTTCTTTGTAATTTTTCCTTGCTTCTCTTTGCTATCACATGCACAAGTGATGTAATCGTTGCTCATCTCGGGAATTACTACTACCTACGTATATTGACCGGAAAGGTTCGACTATATTGTAAATAAAAGTTAGACTTCTTACTGGTCTAATTAAGGACTTGACTTTTATGGTAAATATGGTATATCTTTTAATAATTTTTATCTATAAATAACATATTCTAATCCAACATAAAAGGATACATTGTGCACCTAATTGCCCTTTTATTGTATATATTTTAATAATTCCGAAGTCAACATTTCTATTTAAAAATTAGACTTGACAAAAAGACTTGACTTTATGTGGATAATTAGACCGAAAATACGAAGTGCTAAAGCAGAGAAGGGCGTGGCCGGTGGAGAAATATTTGTCACGATCCAAATCGAAGATTCACGACGGGCATCCGGTACCTTACTCAACTGAGTACCAACGTAACATATCTTTCTTATCGTACTATCATGAGTAAACGAGCCAAAAGGTTCGTCATGAGATAACCAGAACAAAACATAGGGGAATACTAGACATAGGACGACTCAACATGATATAGATACTTATACATGTGACATACGGGCCTCTAAGCCCAACATGATCATTTGTACACTCAAAACATAGGCCGACAAGGCCATACAAGTATACATATACATGACATCGGTCTATAATCCTCTAAGAGTACCTAAACATCATAAAGGTCGGGACAGGGCCCCGTCATACCAATCAATACATGTCCAAATTATACTAACCAAATAGGCAACTCCGGAGTAAGTGGAGTGCACCAACACCTTCCGCTGAGCTGATGGCCTACTAGGAGGACTATCAACCTGTCTATCGGGACCAGCGGGCATGTAACGCAGTGTCCCCGGGCAAAAGGGACGTCAGTACAAATAAAGTACCGAGTATGTAAGGCATGAAAGCAGTGTATAAAAGACATGAAAGAAACATGGAGTAAAGAATTCAACCTGTAAGTCTGAATAGCTCTGTGAATCATGAAATATTTAGAATTTCATGCATATGCGTATAAATGTCATATCATGCATAGGTATATGCGTACATAACATCATCAAGCCTCTGAGGGCATCCCATCATATCATCTCGGCCTCTGTGGACAAAATCATCAACGTATACCAGGTGATCAGGTGGTGGTGCGTATATAATGCCATAACCTTTCCCCATATATATATATATATATATATATATATATATATATATATATATATATATATATATATATATATATATATATATATATATATATAATGACATCTGGTCATAGGTATACATGTATAAATGAATGCAATGCATAATGAAGTAAGTCAATAAGATCTCTCGGAATGTCATGAAACCCATGAACAGACGATATGATAGTAGGACATATGGGGAATCAAGAACTAGACAACCCTAGTATACTTCTAAGAATAGAATCATTTATGAAAGTTGTGTGCTTGCTCGTTTCATTGTATCATATGGATCATGCCGAAAGGAAAGAAGGGTAATATACCTCAAGTTGTCAATGCAACTCAACAACAAGCTTATGATAACTAGCGCGCCAACCCTATAACAAAGAAATACATGTACGACTTAGATGGCGCTAGTATATTACGTATCTCAAACGATAACTCGATTCTAAAATAAAACGGCCAACATTTCCCTTGATTTACTGCTCCCTCAAGCCTACTATAGGCGAGATACAAACACAATACAATCAGCAACTCAAAATCAACCTAACTACAATTCGAGACCTTCAATACAATAAAAACCCCAACTATACCATAACACACCCAATCAACAAGTTATCAATTAGCCTGAAACTGCAACGACAAGTGACCAACCTACTACCCTACCACATGTGGCGTTTCTCCACGCCCTTTTATCCTTCCAAACTCCATAAATCAGTAGCACAATAGGCCAACACGAATGGACTACAAAACAGTCCACTAAAAGTGGGAAAAAATCGAACCCACGGCTTTCGACCTCCGTCCCGTGAGTTCTAACTATTAGGAAACCAATTTATCAACCTTACTTGACATTTAAACACTTAAATACAGAAATTAGACGTTTCTTAACTATGAAGTACCTTCCAAAACTCGAACTACAAAGAAAAAGGAGAGGCGGTATAATGATACTTACATCGTAGGGATCGTTCCGATGTTATCGCTTCTCGATTTCGTACCCGGATTTGTTAGTATTCTTTGAACCTCTATTAGAGAGCTCAAGGATAGGTTTTATGGTGTTCTCTAGTCGGTGTAAAAATGAAGAGAGAGACGAGTTAAGACCTATATATCAACTTTTGAAAAGTCAAAGAGGTGCTAGCTTGGCACCCTCGCATTGGCCCATCTTCCGACGCTTATATCTTTTTATCCGGATGTCGTATGAATGAACGATTACGTGCGTTGGAAACTAAATTTCAATACCTTCAATTTGGTATATAATATGTCCAAAAAAGACCTTATATAGCACACGAAATTTATTTCTCTAAAAGCTCCGTTACGGGGCAAATTCTTAGTTGGTTTTTCCGCAACTTAAATTCAATTTTTCCCAGACCTTATTATATTTTCTATCCAAACATCATATATAGTCATATTATGACTTTAAAATCATTTAAATTAAGATTAACAAGTTTCATATTCATTATACGTCACCTTGGGACGCACAGGTTGTAACAATGTTGAACTAAAACAATCGGATAATATTTTCAACATGATGTGGTACTATAGTTTAGGATAATTCTTACGATTTTCTTAACAAATTTTATGTTATTAAAAGTATTTTTACATCTTATTCGTATTCCAATTTAGGCATTTGTTCAAACATTCTAAAATCTTTTCCTCGAACAAGATATTCCTACATGGTCAACCCAGAGCCGGCTCTAGTATTGATCCAAGCCTTAGGCCCCCAAATTTTGGGTGTCCCATATTTTAGAAATAATAGATTTATAGGTATTTAAAAAAAATATTGAGTACTTTTCGTATAAAAGTAGAGTTTTCTATAATAGTTGTCTCAAAGAAAAGAAGTTTTCAAGATTATAATAGATAAAATCTTACCTAAGATTAACAATGTCTCAAGATAGATTAAAATTGTTGGCTATATTATCAATTGAAAAGGAATTATTAGAGGAAACCGATTATAAAAAAATTATTAACAATTTAAAAAAAAAATAGGCTTCACGTTAAACTTTGACTTTAGCCCTGGGTCAACCACTTAAATTATTGTTTTATTTAACGATTAACTATTCCCTCAGCCATTCAGAATATCTCTACAGAAAGCAGCATCAACTCATTTATTTATTTGAAGTAACTAATTTATAACTTCAAGGTGAAATTTTCAGTTCAGACTTTATCAAGTCTTTGTTTAAATCCAAGTCTCCTACTCATATGCCAGAGAAATTAAGGAAGTTAGAATAGTAGAATTTCCCCAAGTAAAATTGCTTACCTTCTGTACTAGACTAGAGGCTCTCTCTCTCTAACAACCACCTTTTAACAGGCGCCGAGAATACACCGCCATCTCTTATTTCTGCGGCTAACTTAGTGTTGTCATCTTTTCTGGAATGGCCTAATGTTGCCAAATCCAGTTGTTATATTTCCTCCCTTTTGTACCTTTCTTTTCCTCTCTATCTTCTTTATACTTAATTCCCCAACCTCCACCATCACTCTTCTTATTGCATTTTGTATTCATTCTTTTTCTTTTTCTTTTTCTTTTTCCTCCACACAATAAGCTTAGAGTACTATATTTATTTATTATTTGAGTTGGTACCCATAAATATCTTTCAGGTTTCTTTGAAAGAGACATATACAAGACTTGTCAATTCATAGTACAAACTTCTATATTTAGCATCCTTACCTAAAAAGGTGTGGAGATAGTAGTTCTACAGAATTAGGATAGGAGAATAATAATGGGGAGAGTAAAACTTCAGATCAAAAAAATAGAGAATACAACAAATAGGCAAGTCACTTTCTCCAAAAGAAGGAATGGTCTTATCAAGAAAGCTTATGAACTTTCTGTACTTTGTGATGTTGATGTTGCCCTTATTATGTTCTCTCCTTCTGGTAGAGTTAGTACTTTTTCTGGAAATAAAAGGTTTGTATAAAATCTCTCCTTTTAGTTTTCAAGAATCAATTTCTCTATTTCAACTTAATCATTTTATGTTTTTCTTTTTCTTTTTTTTTATTGGGGTGTTTTTGATTTATAATTAACAGCATTGAAGATATTATGGCACGTTATGTGAATCTCCCCGAACATGATCGAGGACGGTAAGGGAACCATTTAGTATTCGAAATTCACTAATTCGACTTCAAGTAGAATGATAAATTCCCCCTCTTCTTTACACAAATATAAATATTTGTCTTCTCCTTTCTTGAGCTCATATTGATATGTTTTTCTTTTATCTTGTTTGTACGTGCTTTCTGTTGTAAAGTTTACACAACCAAGAGGTACGAATTGTTGGTTTTTGTTTGTTTGTTTTTTTTTTTTTCCTTTTTGCCTTTTTCCTTTAAATGAACTACATTTCTTTTTTCTCTTTTTCTTGGATATGAATTTTGCAGCATCTCCAAAGGGCTATTGCTAAGCTAAAATGTGAAACAGATCGAACGTATCAAGCAGCCAGGTTCAATATAACCTCAAGATTTCTGTAGCTTCTAATATGAAATGCTTTTTTTCGTCGAAAAATAGCCTCTATTTTTAATATTAATTTCATTCTTGTATTTTAAGCAGCCCAGCGAGCGTTGATTCCCATATTGAGGTAAGCAGAATATACTCGTGAACTCCTTCCTATATATAATTACCATAATGCTCAGAGGAGGAGTTAAGATTTGAAGCTAATGGGTTTAGGGTTCTAATCTTTAAGTTACTGGGTTCTAAATAAAAAATCTGTACATTTTTAATGTACTTTTTAGACAAATATAGAATTTGGACTAAAGTTACTGGGTTCGCCCGAACCCGTAACTGGCATATGCTAGCTCCGTCCCTGGCAATGCTGCTAATCGGCTTATTGTAACGTTTTAGCTTTGTGATTTCTTTCTCTCATGTTTAAGTTAAAATTGGTTCAGGAATTTCAACAAGAAATTCTTAAATACAAGACTCAACTAGAAGAGACGGATAGGCGATTAAGGTAAATGGCTAATCATAAACTTTTCGTTAAAAATTACATTAATCAAATTATATATACTGACAATATATAAAATTTTAAAGTAACATGCTATGTACTTATGAAGTTTAATGTTTACCATTTTACAGAATGTATGAAGGCGATTTGTGCGAAATCACCACAGTATGTGAGGCACAATATAGGGAAGAAATACTCCAAGAAACACTAAAACAAGTTCAAGCTCGTAAAGTAAGTTACTAAGTTATAAATTTGCTCTGATCATCATAAAGTTGTCGAAGGGAGCCTTGGAGCAACGGTAAAGTTGTCTCTGTGTGACCTATAGGTCATGGGTTGTGGAATCAGTCAATGATGCTTGCATCAGGGTAGACTGCCTACATCATACCCCTTGGGGTGCGGCTCTTCCACGAACCCTGCGTGAATGTAGGATACTTCGTGCACCGGGCTGCCCATCATATATTTGTTCTTAATTAGTTTTCTTATAAGCCATTAATCGAACTTACGTTCTATTTTTTGATGGAACGGCGCAGCAAGTATTGGAGGAAACATATAACTCTCCCCAAGCACAAACCACCACACAACCACAGGTGAGTTTATTTCTTGGAATTTCCTCTTGTTCAATTACAAATAACTTTGACATGTCTGAGAACAAAGTAATTGAACCTTGTGTTTTGGTAATTTTTAGATGGATTTTGCATCACAGAACGTGAACGTGGTGAATAATGCGGCAACAAGTGATTCAATTCCAAATACTAGTTCAAATACATTCATGGATTGGGTTCCACACTCACAAAGAGATCCTCACGTCCAAATTCTGAATTTTCTTGATTCCAATGGGCTTCTACCCTTCAGGTATACTTTTTTCTTTCTCAAAATGGTGGTCCTTTTCACTGGTTTTTTAAATTATATTGAGATTTGAGGCTTTTTTTGGGTGCAGAGACGAAGCTGATCAACGCATGGAAAACATGTTACCACCATCTTTAACTCAACTTCACACTCCAAATGTCTCTGCAGTAACGGATCATCTGAGTCCAAATAATCGATTTGAAAATGATCCACAACGTCCAACGTCGTCGTTTGAAGGCATCATTGATGTCAATAATGCTCCGTGGCCACCGTTGTATCCAACAGGTTAATATCTTTTACACTTAGTATATTGTTGAGCCATAAGTACAAAATGTCATATATGTGGAGTACTTTCTTCTTAGATACTAGTAGTAATAAGGATCTCGATTCAAAATAAATTCATTGAAGCAGAGGTACGTACTTCTTTAAAATCTTATCCAGGATTGAGAGAATTTTGATATAGGTAGGTTTTCAGCTTGTGTTTTAGTAGCAAACTTCTTTAGTGAGGTAGATAATTGCATGAAAGTATAAGTTGAAGGATTCAGATTTAGAAATATGATTTTGCATTGATACGACTTACATTTTGACAGGAAATGATCCCTTTCCCGAGACACAACCCAGAGAACGAGCACTCCTTGAACTCTTCTTGTCTCAACTCACTCCGGTGAACCGAGATCACCTATGAGGAATCATTGTTCTTCCATACTTAGATTTGTCATTTGTTCTTTTCATTTTGTTCTCTCTGTTCCCTTTTGATATCGCTGCTATTTGCAAAATTACTGGATTAGAGAATTTCTCAGCGTAATATTATACTTTGTCCCAAAATTGCGATTTTAGTGAAACTCGTTAATAAATATAGTGTTCTTGCTGCCCCAAACTCCCCTATAACAAATTTCCTAGAAACACTCAAAGGTGTGGCTTAGTGATCAATGAAGTGGACGAGAACCATGAGGTCTTAGGTTCAAATCCTAGCGGAGGCAAAAAACACTAGATGGTTTATTTTCATCTATCTAAGTCTTGGTGAATAGAGTTACCTGATATATGTTGCTGGCTGGAGGCAGCAGGTATCCCGTGGAATTAGTCTAGGTGCGCGCAAGTTGGCTCGGGCTCCACAGTTATAAAAAAAGAAAACCCTAGTAAGCTTGCTTAAAATGTCATTCTTTTGGCAATCGAGTTGTATCCAGTAGTTCCTGGGAATTAAGATTCTACAAGCTAAAAGTAATTAGTAGCCTAGCCCATAATGAAACAAGATACTCAAAGTTGCAGTGGCATAGAATGGATAAGGATTAAGGTTCTCTGTTTCTTAGTAGCCCACAGTGTGATAAAAGGTCAACACATCAAGCTTAATGTGTATTATTTCCTATGCTTACTGTTGTATTCTTTCTAATTTGATTAAAACAAACCACATCCATCTTGAACTAAACCAGAATGGAAATATCTGCTTCTAATTAAACTCTCGGTCTTGAAGTCAAGTCCGAGTATTGCATTCTCAGCAAGAATATATGGCTTGAAATTGAACCTAATAACGCAGCCATGCAACTTTGTGCTAGAGCAAACTTTAGACCTCAATGACTCGTTATCAGCCTCAACGTCAGCTCTAATGTTTCTCTACCTAATTAGTAGTAATAAAGAGCACAACTCTTCTCTACAACAATAACTACGCCTTATTTATGTATTCCTAAACAAGTTGGGGTTCCGGCTATATAAATCCTTATTTCTTTCTATAAGCTCAACTCATATTGTCATCATACCAATAACTAATTTATTTATATCACAAACAACTTGTTAAAGGACCACCATATATACCAACAGTATGAGCTCTCTCCTTTTGTATGAGCATCATATCTTCTACTTTACCTTCAACTCTTCAGTCCCAACAGTCTTTCTTAGATTTCTCATCAGTCGTTGTTTCTGCATCCTCCTTTACTGCCTCCGAAATTGATAAAGAAAATTAATAATTCTATCAAAGGAATTACTACTACGTTAATAGTCAGGGGCAAATTGACCACCTTTCTTCTAAATATTACACTGTGTATAAATATAATATTAGATTTTAGGGGTGTATAACATATACTAACTAGGTGTCAAGCAGGTCATTCAGATTAACTAGTGTTGGTATTACTGTATTCAAAATTAGAAAATCAGATAAGCAAACAAACGTTAGTTCAATAAACAAATTGTAAAATAATTCCGAGCCCACAGAATTCACAGTGTGTTAGGAATTTAATCTCCTCACTGTTGTCCAAGGTATACGGATTAATCCCTCCCAGGATAGAACGGAATAACTATTCTGTAATAGCGGCACTTCAAATCACAGAATTTCAGCGAACTCAACAAACGGAGCAAATCACACATGACACTTATGTTTATTTAGAAAACAATGCAACAATGTAGAAAAGAGAGGAGAAGATTTCAGATTTTCCTTCTATAAAAAATGAGGCTTTATAGACAATGAAAGGGTGAGATGAAGAGGTGCAAACCAAGAGGTGCCTCTTCCATTTCCCATTCACACCCTTTAATAAGAACACGACAATCCCCACATGAATAGGGAATGGTCAATGAGAAAAAACATGCATGAAAATACTGTGTGATTCGCAAGTAAGGATTAATCGCATCTGGATAAGTATTCCCTTTGAACTTTCCGTAGTGAACTTATGTCGGGTATACTTGGTCAATCGGTAGATTTGATATCTTTGAACCGTCGAGCTTTGGTGTATAACTAGACAACCATAAGTCACACAATCAATCCTTAACAGTCTTTGGTTCTCACGGTTGTGTTTGTTTCAGCCATGAACACCGCCTGGTTTCATGAGTGCTTAGAGAATGGGCCTTTACTTTCATTCCCTTTAAAGCGGCTTACACTTCACACTCACATAGGTGATTTCTAAACGTGTAATCCTATTGACACATTATCTGGTCATATCTTGCCAGACTTAGCAAATCATTAAAAAGCTTTAAGATTTATTGACTCATCAAAAAGCCTTAATGCTTAGCCTTGATTTCTGAACATTGTCTTTATCACGAGAATGGGTTGAGTTATTTGACAATGTTGAACCGCCATTCATAACTTTGTTTGATCTCTTGAACCTAGCTCTTGGGATCTCCAGTTTGCTAAGTAGAGTTACCGCCATGATGACTTGTCCTAGGCCTTAGCTCATTCCCTTCGATGATCTTTCAACTGCCTCTCTAGATAGGTCTTTAGTAAGTGGATCCGACACGTTATCTCTTGACTTTACATAGTCAATCATGATAACATCACTAGAGAGTAGTTGTCTAACGGTATTATGTCTCCGTCGAAAGTGACGAGATTTTCCATTATACATAACGCTCCATGCCTTGCCTATTGCATTTTCGATCCGATTTTTATCCTTTTTGGGTTTAAGAACTTGCACTTTACCCAAATATCCGCCCTTCTCCCCCCCCTCCC